AGACTGTTCACTTATCTTTTCACTTTCCCAGTCACTAGTGGTGGCTTCCCATACGAATATGCTGAAGCCCTAACCTGATACACCTACTGTTCTAGTTGATCGCGCGTTCATTTTTATAATTAGGAGAACTTTTAACTGTGACAGTTTTGGGACTGCCTCGATTCTCACGTTTAGTCATCGTACAGAAGGGCACTTACGTGGGCCGCCGGTGCAGTGGTGCTGGGCTCGCAAACTTCCACAAATCTTCCGAGTTTAAGTCACATTGAAAGCATGTTCTTGCTGAGGTATGACCAAATTTTAGATGGGAGTATTCGTCCATTTATGGTTTCATAGTGCCGCGTGCAGCTATCAGGAATTGCGGTCGCTAAAGGGCAAACCCACAAAAATTCATATCTTCTTTGGCTCTTTTGACCTTTTCTTACCTACTATCTTGCATTGATCACAATTAATTATTGTCTCCCCCTCTTCATCCTTGTTCTTCAGCTTCAAGAGCTGAAATCGTACGCTTCGGATCGAAAGTGGAAAGTCGATCCTCAGGAAGTCGCCAATCGGCGGGACCTCCGACCCCCATCCGTTTCCGGCAGTAAAAAGTCCGAGGGCACTCTCATCTTCAGTATTGATCCTCCCGGCTGTCAGGATGTCGATGATGCTCTATCTGTTCGCTGGCTGCCCGCCGACTCGGAGGGTCGTCGGCGTATCCAGTTGGGCGTGCACATTGCCGATGTGACATACTTTGTCAAATCAGGCGGCAATCTGGACGCCGAGGCAAGGCGCCGTTCGACGAGCGTATACTTGGCCGACCGACGCTACGACATGTTGCCGGGTCTCTTGAGTGGTGACATCTGCTCACTCTGGAGTGGTGTCGACAGGTTAGCAAGATAACGCGCCTACTTATTTTATTCGAGTAGTTCGGATTTTATCAATTTGATGACATTATTGGTTACTTCCGCCCTTTCAGGTATGCAATGAGCGCCATCTGGGAGTTGGATCCGGACAGCCTCGAAGTCCTTGACGTATGGTTTGGACGAACCGTTATCCGTTCAAG